CGATGTTTCCGGGCCTGAAAGAGCTTCTCCAGCCCCATGTTGAGCAAGGTCCGGACAGCATCCACGTCCAGGCCAAAGCGGGCAGCGGTCAGTTCCAGTGAGTACCGGACAGTCAGCACATTCTGGCCCTGCAGCTCCCCCTTGGGGTCCTGAGGAAAACAGCCCTTTGTGAGAGGGAGTCCCTTCACTTGCTGGGCCTCAGGACCCCTCCCTTGTCCCCGAGCATCCTCACCTGACTGGGGCTGATATTGCCGGCCTCTGTGAGCCCGTAGTGCTTCATGAGGAGCTGGCCCGAGGTCAGGGGCTCAGTGGCACCCAGCACAGAATCAGGAAGGAGCTGCTGGACCTCTTTGACCGTCCACACATAGAAGGCACCCTCTTTGGGCCGCATGCCCCGCTCTGGGGGTGAGTCTGCGTCCTCTGCGCTATAGAAGCCTCCAGACTGTGAGGAGAGGAGAGTTTGCTGGCCCCAACTTTCAGGGCAGCGGAGGACCCAAGCCCTCCCGCAGCCAGGCCCGCCTGCCTCAGTGGACACACACCCGATGACTCAGGTTCCGAGCCACGTACTGCAGGATGCCTTTGGCAACGTCGGAGTAGAACTCGTCACCAGAGATCTGAGACGGGAGGAAGGAGACTGTAAACAGAGGTCTCTGGGATGGCCTAGGTACAGAGAGGGCAGTCAGCATTCTCCCAGGAGGGTGGGGAGGGAGCCTGGGCATATAGGAGGGGATCAGGGGTGAAGTTAGGGTGGGGGGGCACAAGTCCCCAAGAAAGCCCTAGAGAGGCAGCCAGAGGTAGGTGGACAGGCTAAGTGTCTGCCCTGGGCCGGGTTCAGGGGTCACCTGGAAGGCCTGTGAATAGGCTACCGCGAGCTGTGCCTGGTCGTACAGCATCTTCTCGAAGTGGGGGATGTGCCACTGGCGGTCCGTGGAGTAGCGGTGGAAACCCTGTGCCAGGCAGGACATGGGGCTGGAGGCCGACCCCAGCCTCTGTCCCAACCCCCTGCCTCCGGCTGCCCCCTCCAGGGAATGCCTAATCCCCCTCACCTGTCCCACATGGTCTCGGATGCCCCCGTTAGCCATCATTTTCAGGGTGTGCAAGGCCATCTGTTGGGCCCGAGAGCCATCCTGGGTTAGTCGATGGCTGAGCCAGTAGGAGAACAGGAAGTTCAGGATCACTGCGGGGGCACCAAGAGCACTTGGGTGAGAGCATGGGGGACACGGGGGGCAGAGATCTGGGTGATCGGGAGGCCTTTGGCCAGGCTGGGGTTAGGAGTTCACTCAACAGGCTGTCTCCCGGGACACCCTGGAGGTCAGGAGGTCAACGGTCAACACAGAGGACAGAACATCATTACCCAGGTCAGTGTCATGGGGTTGCCGCTCAGACCAGAAGTCAGGTCTTCACGAGAGAGCTCCTGCCAGGCGGGTTAAGGAGCTCACTGGCCAGTCAGGAGAGCAGGTGCTTAATGACCCAGCCAGCGGTCAGAAAAGATGGGCCAGACAGGCATCAGAGGGCTGGGATGGGGGGTGGGACACGCATGGGGGGGGGCACAGACCCGGCGTGGGAAACTTGGGGGCCTCCGCGAAGCCACCATACTCCTCATCATAGCCCTCGTCCAGCTGCTGGAAGCAGCGGCTGTTCATGGTGGCAGCGGAGGGGGGCACCTGTCGGTCACCCATGCTGATCTCCGAGCGGGCCAGCAGGGCCGTGGTAACACGCTGGCTGTTTTCCAGCAAGGTGTTCTTGTTCTGTTTCCACTGTGGGAGGCAGGGGCGGACCCGGAGGTCAGCATACGGTGGGGGCCCCTCGCCCTTGACCTCCCCCCCCCCAGTCCCCACCCCTCTCCGCTCCCCGGGAGCACACCCACCTGCTCCCGGATCCTCAGCAACACCGTGCGGAAGCCAACTCGGGTCAAGCCATCCTCAGGGGGAAAATAGGTGCCCCCCACAAAGGGCTGGAGGTTGGGAGTCAACCACACGTTCATGGGCCAGCCCCCACCACTGCTGGTGGCCTGGCAGAGAGAGGGCGAGGGTGAGGGGAGCGGCCCCCTGTGCGCAGATAACCCCCCGCCCAATACACGGGAAGACTGCTTACTTGCACGAAGGTCATATACACCTTGTCCACATCCGGCCGCTCCTCCCGGTCAACCTTCACGCTGACGAAGTCCTCACTGAGCAGGCGGCCGATCTCCTCATTCTGGAAGGATTCCTCCTCCATCACGTGGCACCAGTGGCAGGTGGAGTACCCCACTGGAATGGGGCCATGGTGGGCCGGGAGGGGTACCAGTGACTGGTTGGAGGTTTCCTGGGAGGCCCCAGACCCACAGGACGCTTCCCCTATCCAATACCACTCCCTTCCTCCCATCCCAGGGAAGGTGGCTACGTTACCTGAAAGGAAAATTGGCTTGTTTTCTTTCCTGGCCTTGTCAAAGGCTTCCTGTCCCCAGGGGTACCTAGGCCCGGCAGGGTTGGGCATCACTCACTAGCCCCAGGATGGGGGGATACAGGAGGGGCTGGGAGCCCAGCTGCTCCCCCACCCCCGCCCCACAGGGGAAAGGGCATCAGGAGTGGTCCTCACCAGTCCACAGGGTTGTAAGCATGTTGCAGGAGGTATGGTGACTTCTCATTGATCAGGCGGTTGGGAACCTTCTGGAGTGTGGATGGGGAGCAGCTGGTCCGGCTTCCCTTCCCTCCAACAGGCATGGGCACTGTACTGCTGACCGTCACACTTCGGTCCTTGTCCCGGGAGGAGCTACCCCTGGCATGGGCAGGTGGGTCAAGTGAGGGGTTCCCCCCTCCCCGGGCCTACCCCAGAGGCCCATACTAGCCCACCCTGCCCTCTGGCCCCTCTCCTGGAACCTCCTGCTCCCAGCCCAACCCACCTGTCTGAACCACGGGGGAGACCGTGGCCTTTGTGCTCCCCCTTGTGTTTTTGGGGGGGTGAAGGAAGGTGGCTCATTGGGGGCTCCCTGCCAGGTTAGTCTCCCCCAACCTCTCAGACCTGGCGGTGGGAAGGATGATGACTGTGAGGTCAGGGTGAGTCACAATGGGCAGAATGGCCCTTCAGTCTCCATTCTTTTCCCCCCAACAGGGCCCCTCCCCATGATGGCTGTGCTGGAGGTATCTCTCCCGCAGGCCTGGGCTGGTGATCTGGGCAGGAGGCTGCCTGGTGCTGGTGGCTGGACAGGGCAAGAATGGATCTGGGGTTGGACCGGGTGAGGGGCAACGAGAGGAAAATCGACAATGGGGACCTTCTCACTCAACATCCACCCCTGGGCACTTCCATGAGGCCAGACCCGCAGGCTGCCCAGGGAGTCAGAAACTGGCTCAGATCTCGCGGGGCTCAGCCTGGGAGGCTGGCGCCGCAGGGCAGACCTAAATGACAGGCCCCTGCAGCCAAAGGGCTGTAACAGGTCAGTCCAGGGTGCCGCTGGATAAGGACCCTAGGCCCAGCATTGGGGTTCAAGGAAGGCTTCCTGGAGGTGGTGTCAGGAGAGTCCCCGGGGAGCTAGCCCTGCAGCAGGAAGGGACGGGGAGACGGAGGGGGGCGGGGGGAGGCCGTTACTGCCTGGGCCAGGTCTCGGAAGCAGACTGGCGTGGGGAGGAGGCAGGAGGAGTGGCCAGGCAGGCACTGGGGACCAGCGCGGTGACGACCGGTCCCGGGGCCCCTCGGGCGCAGGGCGCGCCGCAGCAGCCCACTCACGCGCCTGTACCTGCGGCTCGCGGCGAAGCCGGACCCGGCGCGGGGCAGCAGGAGGCCGCG